TATGTATTCTTAATTTATACCCTGATGCCCCATGAAGTTTTCTAGCTCTTCTTGGGTTGACAGTGCTCACACAGTTCTCACAAGGACCCTGGGCTGGAGGCCATCTCCTTTTCACACTCAGTGTGTGAGGTTAGACCCACGCATAGTTCTTTTCCCAGTGGAGACCATAGTATGAGTTCCCGGCACTTCACCCAGTGCCATGTCTCAGGATGTTTGTGAGACTGAAGAGGAAAATGTCTAACGTTTGCTTTATCCATTAGAGCAGAACCTCTACGAAAGAAGAAAAAGGTAGATCCTAAAAAAGATCAAGCAGTAAAGGACCGTTTGAAAAAAAGGATCAGACGACTGGAGAAAGCTAGCCAGGAGCTAATTCCCATTGAAGATTTTATTATACCTGTGAAGCTCTTGGATAAAACAAGGTAAGGGTCCTCTAGGGTTGAGGTTCTTAGGACAAAGAGTTCCATCACCTTCAGGCAGTTCTGTCTGCATTTCATGCCTGTGACAGGAAGAGGTGAGTGGGCATGGGCTGACTAGGTCCTAGTCTCTGTCTTGACTCTGTCTTGTGGGAGTTGGCAAAAAGCATTCCTGGGTGGTGCTTTTGAAAGGCTGAAATGGGGAAAAAAAAAAAAAACTCAGAAATAACTGTTTGATAAGCCAGTTCATATTGTTGCTTTTTTGCAAGATGAGTTTTGGCTGTGATTGAAGACTTGGGCCTGGGTCTGCAGCCACTGCTCCATCTTGGTGGTAGAAAACCCCTAGCCTCTAGCTTTTTTTTTTTTTTTTAAAGATTTTATTTATTTATTTCATAAGAGACACACAGAGAGAGAGGCAGAGATACAGGCAGAGGGAGAAGCAGGCTCCATGCAGGAAGCCTGATGTGGGACTCAATCCTGGGTCTCCAGGATCACACCCTGGGCTGAAGGCGGCACTAAACCGCTGAGCCACCTAGGCTGCCCTTTAGCCTCTAGCTTTTTTTTTTTTTTTTTAGGATTTTATTTATTTATTCATGAGAGACACTGAGAGAGAGAGACATAGGTAGAGGGAGAAGCAGGCTCCTCACAGGGAGCCCGACATGGGACTCGATCCCAGGACCCCAGGATCATGACCTGAGCCGAAGGCAGATGCTCAACTGCTGAGCCACCCAGGTGCCCAGCCTCTAGCTTTAATATACTGATGCTCATAGTTGGAATGTGTTGTGTACAGGCTTTACAAGGTTGAAAAGGTGCAAAAGGTGTGTATCATTTATAAAGTAGCACCTTGCCATACAGGTGGGACATGGCAGGTGCTTTTTTTTGTATTTTACAGCTGCCCTGGGCTTGGGTGTCCATTTTCATAACACCACTTTACATTTCCACAGTCACCTCTCACCAAAAGTAGTCTCAGCCTGGGATAGAGGAGGTGCTACCAGGTCTTCTTAGAGCATCGCTGATTTTTGTGTCCACGTAAAGCAAATGACATTGGCTTCCAGCATCAGTTGCAGCTGCTACCACTCCAACATTCCATTCTTTGATTTGTCCCTAACTTCCACATTTTTCCTGAGTCCCATCTGTGTCTGGAAGTGGGGACACTTGGGTCATAGGCAGTCTCCCAGACTATCTGGCCAGTGAGATCGGTTCTCCCTAAATTCATACCTTTGGATTTGTGTGTTCCAAGACAGCGGCCTAAGGTGGAGCTTCCCTTTGAGGAGAGTGAGCGGAGAGCTGTGCTTCTCAAGAAGTGGTCCCTGTACAAGCATCAAGAGCATGAGAAGGAGAGGGATGCCATCACATCTATGCTTGAGTCCCAGCAGGAAGCTCTGCAGGAGCTGAAACTCATATCCCCAGAACTACATGAAGAGGCTACCAAGCGGGACCCCAATTTGTTCCCCTTTGAAAGAGAAGGACCAGATTACACACCACCAATCTCCAGCTACCAGCCCCCTGAGGGCAGGTACCATGACATCACCAAGGTGTACACACAGGTGGAGTTTAAGAGGTAGAGCTGCAGGCACCTGTCTGCAGAACACAGTGCCCTTTCAAGCCAGAATAACCAGGGCACAGGCCTGCTTGTCACAGAATCAGGCATGCTGTGAATAAATACGTTTAATCAAGTGTCTCTGTCTTATGTTAGAGTCAAAATTAGTTCACCTGAGGATTGATGGGGTTGAGAGATGCTGTCCTTATCTGATACTGGGGACAGGATGACCAAGACTTCTGCTGCTCCCCATTTAAAAGGAAGATTCCAATTGTATGGGGCAGACACTACCAGCAAGAGGCATAGAATACGTCAAGGAGAGGTGAAGGATGTGCAGCCTGTGTGCTGTTGTCTGTACACCTGCCTGTGCAGACAGAAGAGGCAGGGCCTTCTCATTAGGCAAATGGAGCATGAGAGCTTCCTCACATCTTTGGCAGGGCCAGCTTTGGGTTTTAAGCTGGGGAGGGAAGCTGAAGAGAATGGAACAAGCCTGGAACACACTGCTTAATGTTGCTGTGTTCCCTAGGAGGGCGTGGCACCTGGTTCTTATTCAAGTGTTATTAGTATGGAATAGTAAATGTTTTAGTGTGTTGGGCTGCCAAAACAAAGTACCACAGACCCAGGGGCTGAAACAACAGCAATTTCTCCATTCTGGAGGCCATAACTCCAAGGTGTTGGCAGGACTGGTTTCTCCTGAAGCCTCTCTCCTTTGCTTATAGAGAGCTGCCTTCTCCCTGGGTCCTCAGGGTCATCCCTCTGTGCCTGTCTCATAAGGGTACCAGTCATATTGGATTAGGACCCCATATGATGACCTCATTTTAAATTAACTACCTCTTTAAGCATCTTTTAAGTCACATTCAGAGGTTCTAGGGGATAGAGCTTCAACACAAGAATTTGGGGGTGGGGAATGACATAATTCGGCCCAGAGTAGTAAAGGTCCAGTAAGCAAATACAGCCATTTCTCCTAATGACTTGAATTGCTCCCTCTGAAAGGCTTTAGGTTTTTCACTACCTTACTGCAGATAAACCAGGGAAACATTTCCTTGAGGAAAAATTTGGATTGTGTTTTCCTGGTGTATGGTTCACTATTGGTTTAAAAACTTACCAAACGTTTTTACTGGAATAAAACACTAAAAATCCTAAGTTCTTTAGCTCTGAGACAAACACTGAATCCAGCCACTTTTTGCAGCCTCACTGCTATGTCTGAGGTCCACACCATTGCCACCTTTTGCCCGTTCTGCAGCAGCCATGTGGGCACTTCCTGCTTGTAAGCTCCTCTGTACAGCAACCAGAGGACTCCGTGGAACACAAGCCAGAGCAGGCATTAGGCTGTCTACCATCCCCATCCACCTTCCCCCTGTCAGCACATGGCACTCAGTTGTTCCTTGTGGCCTGTGTGCCCCTTCCTCTGCAAGGTTCAGGCCTCTTCATCCAGGTTTGGGTTCAGATGCTGAGCCCTTCTCCACCTCCCTGCCCACTGCAGGTGCTTTGTAGTAGTGTTTTTCAAACTGTAGCTTTCATGCATTAGGTTATATCATCAATTCATGCATCACAGCCAACAATTTTAACTTTATATTTTGAAGTAGTTAGATTCACAGGAGGTTGAAAATAAAGATGTAGGGAGGGGCTATGTGTGGTTTTCCCAGCCTCCCCAAGTGTTAACATCTTACACACCAAATACTGTCAGTACCCAGAGACTTGACAGTTACAGCCCAGAATGTATCCCGGTTTCCCACTATGTCTACGCTCATCCGTGTGTATGTCTAGCACTACACAATTTCAGCACACATGCAACTCTATGAATCATGGTTCCATTACCACAGGATACCCCTTTGTACCCCTTTACGGCCACATCTACACCCCCTTTCCACCCCTAACCCTTGGTACCATTAACTATTCTCCCTATTATTACATCATCTTGCCAATGTTACATCAATGGAACTAAGTCATTGCATCCATTTAAGATTTTTTAACTTGGAAAAAAAAAGATTTTTTAACTTGGCATAATTTCCCTGAGTTCACCTAAGTTGCTGCACGTACAGTGGTTTATTTTCGGTGGCATAGAACTGCAAATGTCATAGAAATGCAAATGTATCACACACCGTACGATAAGGACTGTTTTGTGAAGCTTGTTTCAACCATACATGCAGTATATGAAGTATGTACCAGATTTACCAGATCATAACATTAAAACACTTATGGGTTTTGTGCAAAAAATTTAAGAGCTACTGCTCTATCTTCTCACTGCCCATTTTCTTCACAGCACTTACGATTATTTTAGACTTATTTAATGAAGTATAAATATTTATGTCTGTCCCCTAAACTCAACTGGAACACTTCAAGGCAAGTTGCCCATTTCAAGACTGTAATCCCAGAGCAGCTGGCATGTAGCAGTTGCCCAGATGTTGTGAAGGGTGAACACAGGAGCAGATGTAGGAACATTCTGTGCAGGGAGGATTATCTGTCAGTGTGGAACTCCTTGAACAGCAGAGAAGGAATATGACTTCCTAACAGAGCAGTTAGTGGTGGGCAGGGCCTGGCCCTAAACAAGCACGTAGAGTATGGGTCCCTTCAGGTCAGCCCCTCAGGACTGCTGTGCCAGCTGTGACTGCAGCCCCACCCAGGGACCCCAAAGGATCCTATGCAGATTGCAAAATTCAAATGTCCCTTCCTGTGTTTCAGAGTGAAGAGAATGCTTGTAGATTCCCAGCAGCCTTACCTCTCTCCTCGGCTGGAAATGCTCCAGAAAGTAGCCACAGACACAAGGGAGATACCTTGGTTGACTGAGATATCAAGACATACACCCTGAGACAGGCTTTTTATACTCACCTCTGCTCCTGGCTCCTATGTGCACACCCCACCCCCACCACTCACAGGTACACAGAGTCATAGGGAAGGACCACTGGGGACCTGTGTGCACACAGCACCACCACTCAGGTACATACACATGGAGAGGCTTGGGGTCCTATCTGCAGATCCCCATCACTTACAGGGATGAGCAGTCGCGGACTCTTGGGGTAACACAAGAGAAGATGCACATGAGAGGGCAAAGTCTATTCTTTATTGTATGCCCTTCTGAATTGATTGGATTATTTTGCCCCAAAGAATGAGTTAAAAGATGTCTGACTCACTGCCTGTGGCCAGGTTGGGGCCCAGCTGTGAAGGAGGTACTAAAATCCTGCTGGCCTGAGGGAGCACAGCCAGCCTCACCCTCAGCACCACACCATGGAGCCAGCTCTGCAGTCAAGAGATGCCAATTTTTTTTTTTTAAGATCTTATTTATTCATGAGACAGACAGAGAAAGAGAGGTGGACACACAGGCAGAGGGAGAAGCAGACTCCATGCAGGAAGCCCAATGTGGGACCCAATCCTGGGACTCTGGGATCACACCCTGAGCCAAAGGCAGATGCTCAACAGCTGAGCCATCCAGGCATCCCACCAAATCGTTTTATTAGTGATAAAAAGGCCTCTTCAAGAATAGTGTTCTTGTTGGTTCATATGCATATATTTTAAAAACATCTACAAGTGTGTTAAGTATACAAAATTCCAATACTACGAGCAGAACAGTGTCAGGTGCTGAATCTAAAATCTTAACTACTAAATTGTGGTTTAATTTTCAGCTTCTATTTGAAATCAAATGTGCCAAATGGTGTTAGCTATAATCTACATTTTCTATGTTAGATATAATCTACAAAACTGACCAAGGGAAATTTTAAAGCAAGAGACCAAAATTCCACGTGTTTTGGGTTTGGGTTTCTTAAACCAAGAGTCTATGAACGCTTTTAATGCGAGGTTGTATATTCTATAGCTGTATGCATTTTTTTTGGTATGCATTTCTTAAAACCCAGAGTCTTCAAGAGGTTTATCTCGTACAAGAAGAAACACCCCACCTGTGTCCGCAGAGGAACTGAGTGGGCTGTAGCTCCGTGTAAGCACCAGGGGCTGGCAATGCAGTCTCACCAAGCCAGCACCAGGGAGAGTGTTCACCACAGAACAACCATTTGTGTGTCCACATGGGTCAGGGCTACCACTCGAGTTTACCTGAGAGGGCTGTTGTCCCCGCGTGGGGGTAGCATGAACCAGCCTGACCCAGCTGCTCATTGGGATCCGCAGTGGTGTTTGGCAGCCTGGAAGCTGTGCAGTGGGTGAAGTTGTCTGTCAGAGCCAGGCAGTGGCAGGGCGCCCTGAATCCAGGTCCAGGGTGGGCAAGTAGATCTGGAGACCTCAGGCTTCATGTTCTAAGCTGAGTGGAAACTCTCAGGGACCCACTAGACTGCTTGGGCTGGTCACCATCCTTCAGGTCCTGCCACAGCCCCACTTGAAACAGATCAGAGGAAGCCGTTCTGGAAAGCTCATCACTGGTCTTTCTCCTCCTGTGGCAGTGGGAGGTGCCAGTCCGCAGGAGGGCTCTGCCTCAGGGTCCACACCAGGGCGTGCTTCCGTGTCGCCTGGACTCTGGCACGCTCACTCTCACAGAGGGACCGCTATGCAAAGGAGACCCCAGTCACCTTGGGCTCCCATGGTCCTTGTACCTCCCTCCTCCTTAGCACCCACCACCCCCAACAAGTCAGACAAAGTGTATGGCACATACCACTCCAGAACTTGGCTGCTTCTACCTAATAAACCTTGGCAATTATTCTGTATTAAAATGCACAAATCTAGATCATTCTTTCTCTCAAGCTCCTGTGAAAAACTGTGTAGATCACCATAATTTGAGTAAATTTTAAAATTTCTTCTGGGCCTCAGGACTTGATGCCTTCAGTCGACCTAATTAGATTTACCTGCTGAGATCAGCATGGTGCTGAGCTAAGAAGAGAGAAGAGTCTGAAAGAGTGGCCACAGTGGGGAGGATGAGGCAAGAGACACATGCGCAGGGAGCCCTGGACAGGTGAGGAGGAATCCAGATGAGAAAGAAAATAGGTGCCACTCAACTAGCTGGCTTTTTTTCTGCCATTCTCCTCCCAGAAGGAACACAGGGCAGCACCTTATGAAAGGTGCACTTGGTAGGTGCCAGGCATTATGCTGGCCTTTTTCTATATATAATTTCACCTCCTCTAATTATCTGTCTTTCCTCAAGCTGTATTGCCTTTTTTATTTTATTTATTTTTTATTTATTTTTATTTTTATTATTATTTTTTTTTGCTGTATTGCCTTAAACAGTGTTTTTGTTCTTATTTAAAAAGCAATCAAATGCAAAGAATATGAAAAATTTCCAAGACCTCTGTCCCTGTGGTGAAATTAACAGCTTCCCCAACCCAACTGAGACCTAAATGTTAGTGCTACATGTTTTCCTGAAGATGGAATCACCTACTGGCTAGTGTACATCCTCCATTTTTTACTAAGCAACATACATACAGGTACCTTTCCCTGCCCAGATAGATTATTATCTATTTTTTTTTAATGGCTATGTCATACCCCACTGGGTCGACGAAGTTATTTGGTTACATGTCTATTAGTGGCATCTAGGGTGCTTTCCGTTTTTGCACTATCACAAACAGTGAGGCAACAGATATTGTGAATTTTTTAACTGTGCACTATTACCCAGTTACTTCCCTAGGATGGGCTTTCGGAAGTAAAACCAGGCAGTCAAAAGGTATCCTTTTGACAGATAATCAGAACACGTAACACTCCACCAATACTGCATAAGTACCCCTGACTCTCCAGACCCTTATCAGCACTCTGACACTTCACTGGGCAGAAGCCATTTGTCAGTTGACCTTGTATACCAGGCCATTTGATTTTCTTTTTGAATGAATTCCTTTCTCATGCCCTTTTCCCACTTTTCTATTCTGAAGTCATCCTCATTTTCTTACCGATGTATGAGAGCTCTCTCTCTCTAAAAAAAATCTCTTGCTACACAAGTTCTTTCCCAATTTTTTGATTTCCACTTATAATGGACCTGTCATCATTTTCTTTTATATGGTAGCTTGGTTTCCACATGAGTTTGTTTCAATAATCACATACATTTAACCAGCCTCCAGTCCTGCTGGGGCCCGTTTCCCCTTCCCCATAAGCACTGCAAGCACTGCACCCTCAAGCTTCTCTTCATGTCTCCCCACCCACAATAGTTCCAAGGCACCACTGCCTATTCCAGACTGGAACGAAGGTGCCAGAAGGGCAGGGCTCTGTTCTCATTCCTGTATCTGTAAGACCACCCAACATGATAAATACTTGCTGAATGTTGAATGAATGGAAAACCAGACCCACCTCCTGTCTCTTTGCCCCTCCGAAATACACTCTCCCACCCTGGCAGTCAGACTGATCTCTATCTGTCTATCTATCTCTATCTATCTATCTATCTATCTATCTATCTATCTATCTATCTATATTTTTAAGACCGGGAAGGGGGATAGGGAGGAGCAGAGGGAGGGAGGGAAAGACAGAAAGAGAGAGAGACAAGAGAATCCCAAGCAGACTCCTCACAGCTGGATCCCACAACTTGGAGATGACAACCTGAGCCTAAATCAAGAGTCAGTCCCCAAATGAATCACCCAGGCACTCCCCCACCCCTGTTTTAAGCAGGTTTCATGCCCAGCCTGGCACCCAATAAGAGGCTTGAACTCATGAGCCAGAGATCAAGACCTGAGCTGATACCAAGAGTCAGATGCTTAACCGACTCAGGCACCCAGTGCCCTCACACTAATCTTTTAAAGATATAAACCAAGTCATGCTTCTCAGCATACATTTAGGCTGAATCTAAACACTTCATATCATAAAGGTCCACCAGCTCCCTGGTACCTCTCCAGCCTCAACCCCTACCAGTCTACAGCTGACCCTCCTGCTCCAAGCACCCGGCTCTTTCTGCTCCTTAGATGTGCCCCGCCTTGGGTTGGTGAAGGCTGTTGAGGCTGGGACCAGCTGGCCATGTCCCGAAGGCCTCAGAAATACCACCTCCTGCGCAGGGCTGCCGACACTAACACTGTTAGGGGATCCCTCTTCTTCCTTCCCCAAAACTCTCTACATTCTCCTCCTTTCTTCACTGTAAAACCCTGTTGATGAACTAATTTTTGATATTTCTCAAAAGAAAGGAAGCACAAGCGGAGGAGGGACCCAGGCCGACTCCTCTCCAGGGGCCGGGGGCCTGACGGTGGGGAGGGCGCGGTCAGTGCCCCAGCGCCCCCCGCGCTCCCCCGCGCTCCCCCGCACCTGGGCCTCGGCGCTGCGGCGCTCCTCCCACTCCCGGCAGCTGGCCAGGTCCCGCCGCCACTGCTCGCAGGCGGGCCGCTCGCCGTGGACGTAGTAGTGGTGCAGGAGGTGTCTGGCGCTGCGGCAGAGCGTCCACTCGGCGCGGTAGGCCTCGCAGGGGCGCGGCGGCTGCGGCGACAGGAAGCTTGAGCCAGGGGCCCCGCACCGCCCCCGGGGACCCAGCCCCGCGCCCTCCTCGGGAGAGGCCTCGGGTCAGGGGCTCTCCGCACGCCCCGCGGCCCCGGACTTACCCGCCAACCGCCAGCGTCCGCCATGGCCCGCGCCTGCGGCACCCCGCCCCCAGCTCGCGGGCCGGGACTAGGGCAGAGCACCCTCGACTCCGCACTTACCTCCTTGATGTCCGGCCGAGCAGCCAATAGCAGCCGGGGGCGGTGACACGCGGAGGCGGGGCCTAGGGGAGCCCGGGGGCGGGGCCCGGGCGGGCGGGGGCGGGGCCCTGGGGGCCGGGCGGGGGCGTGTGCGGAGGTCCCGAGGTCCCAACGCCTGGAATGCAGTCCGCCCGGTGCCTGGCGGGCTTCCCAGGCGGCACAGCCACGAAGTGAGCTCTTTCTGAAACCACGGAGTCCAGGCTTATTTTCAGGTTTACTAAATCTGCACAGATAGGGTTCATTTCCGTGAGCACACAATGAGCATCAACTCCACATGGCGAAGCTGCGGAGGCTGCGGCACTGGCGGGGTGGAGGGGGTGGCCAGGCAGGACCAGTGGGAGTTGAGGCTCGAGGGCACCGGATGATCTCCCGATGGAAGCCGGGCCTGTCAAAAGTGGAGGCCGGTGTGACCTGGGGTAGAGGACAGGGCAGTGCCAGCGTAGGGTGCCTCGCACGTCGGATTAGGAGTGAAGTTTTACTCCGAGGTATGGAAGACACCGAACATTTATAAACAGGACAGATGCACAAGAGGCAATAAAAGCAGAGGCTGGTGATCTGCAGAGTAGCCCTGCAATACCCATGCAGTGGTTCTCCAACCACGAACTTAATTCCCTGTGGGGAGCCCCTTACAACTGCTGCTCGCCTGCCCCGGGAACGAGGCTGGGTTAGACGCCCTCGAGGTGGGGCAGAGGCTGCCGCTTTACCAGCGGTCCGGCCAAGCTGGCCACAGACCAAGCTTGGAGACGGAGAAGCCTGCAGACCAGGGTGCAGCACGGATAACCCAGAAGTTTGCTCTGGATGGCCCCTCCCCTCTGCTACCAGAAGCCCAACAGGGTCTGCTCCTGGCCTAGGGAAGGAAGTGTGGCTCAAGCAAAGGACCAGGGATGGTTTCATTGCATACACGTAGGTGTTGCTTAGGGAGGAAGACAAAAACCCAAGACCAGTCCGTGCCTTTCTGTAATATTCATTATGCATCAAATGACACATTAGCCAATGTGATCCTGCAAATGGAGGCTGCCTACCCACCAAGGAGGGCTTCTACCTCAGCTACTGAAAGAGACTCCTTAATGGAGGATCAGGGAAGTCATAGCAGTGCTTCATGCCTCTTGACACCCTGTCCATCATTAGTGACCTTTTGGGCCATAGCCTGGCCTAATCTGCGTGACCATCATATACTCGATCTATGACGTACGGGTGGACCCTGGACCAGCATCCTGAAGGAAGCATCGTCTTGACTGTTGAAGTTCTGTTAAGACATGGACCCCTCTATCTCTAAGCAGGAGTCCTCCTCCAAGAGGAGACCCTGTTCAGGCTGACCATCCCCAATGCAGGGGTCAGAGCCTCATCTCTCCATATATTCTCCAAAAGCCCCCAGAAGAGCTCTCTTCTCTTTTTTAAAAGTTTGTTTGTTTGTTTGTTTGTTTATTTATTTGACACAGAGAGAGTGAGCGAGCACAAGCAGGGGAGCAGCAGGCTCTCCACTGAGGCAAGGAGTCCGATGCAGGGTTTGATTCCAGGACCCTGGGATCATGCCCTGAGCCGAAGATAGACGCTTAACCAACTGAGCCACCCAGGTGCCCCGAGGAGCTCTTTTCTAATGGCAGGATGGAACAAGGGACACTTACAAGCAAGTCTTCCTCCAGCTTCTGGTTGGTGGCCCAAACACCAACCCATGTTGATTCCTTAATCAAACATTTAGAGGCAATCCAGGTTTAATCATTGCCTGTTTTTATTTGAAATTCTTGATGTAAAATTATTTTCAAGGAACAAAAGAGATTAAATTAACGTGTCAAAAGATCTCACATTATAGAAAATGATCTGAGACCAAATTAATGCTAATAAAAAAGGCCAGCATAACATTGGATAATTTAATACATTAAACCTGGGAGTGGGGGTAGGGAAGGAGAAAAGAGGAATGTATCTTTAGCACTTATTTTTTCTAATATTCATATTTGTGCTTCATCATGAAGTTTACTGTAGATTAAGAAGCTAGTTTTTTCCATATAAAATCGAAACACAAGATGAAATGTATTCAGATCAGGAATCCACCTTCTGAAGAATGGTTCTTTTGGAAAAGAAAATATGTAAAATAAAAATAGAAACAGCCTTCCATCTACACTTAAACGGCAGCCAGAGTAATGGGATAACCACTATTTATAGAGCACATATCTATTTAAGCCACTTTTTTCCAGGCCAGAGGCAACACTCTAAGCCATCGACCTGGAAAAACAAAGGATAAGTGAAAAAAAGAGAAACCTCAAGTTAAAGTAATTCCATCCCCTCCGTTGGTTTTTATCAGGAATTGGGGAACTCTGCTTTGGCTAAGGCAGTGGGAACACCCCTCAAGGGCTGAAAGCGAGAAGGGGCAAGGAGGAAGTTGCCTGTGGGACCTCAGAGTGAGATTTCTCCTTCCCAAAATCAACCACCAGGTCTGACTGTTCTGACTTCCAGGTCACACTCGGTAATTCTTAGGTAACTCTAAACAAAACCTAAAATGACAACATCCTCTGCAACAGTCTCATCCCCATCAGAGCCAGTAACTAAAAGCCATTATGTTGCAATTGATTATTTTATTTTCCAATCAGCCAAGAGTCCCAACTTATGGCTTTCTTCCCTTTTTACGCAACGACTGTCCTTCTCCAGAGAAAGCGACGAATCTGCCTCCAGCTTCATCCTGAGTGTGAAGATAAAATACTATTTTCAGAAACTCCTTGGAGCCTTAGAGTAAATGCTTGATTCTGTTGACTCATGTGCCAGCCACCCATTTCCCTTACTTCCACATTATTCATAATAAGAAAGGCCTTGAAATAAAAATCATAATCTATTGAATCGAGAAACGAAACCAGAGAATCACAACTATGCCTCTACCAACAGCTTTTATTCTCAGGTTGAATGTACATCCTTTTGCAGAAGCATTACGTTTTCAAAATGTAAAAAAATATAAAATACACCCCCCCACCCAAAAGAAAAATATCTGTAACTCTACCACCCAAGAAGACTTCCGGCCAATTCTCATGCTTCCCAAGCCTCAAGTTGATGAATTTCTCTGCTAAGATACTCCAAAGGCTACAGAGAATTCTGGCAGTTTTCCATCATTGGATGTTACTTCTTTTTTTTTTTTTTTTAATTTAAGATTTTACCTATTTATTCATGAGAGACACACAGAGAGGCAGAGGGAGAAGCAGGCTCCACGCAGGGAGTCCTACGTGGGACTCGATCCCGGGACTCCAGGATCACGCCCTGGGCTGAAGGCGGCGCTAAACTGCTGAGCCACCCGGGCTGCCCTGGATGTTACTTCCAAGTTTGTGGTATATTAAGCTGCTGTGGCAGCTTAATGTTTTTGCACACAACTCTTGATTTTTTTTCTTAGAAGTGTTATTCTTTCATAAAAGGACTGCATTTTAAGTAAGTAAATAAGTAAATTTAGAATCGCACATATTTTTAAGGCTTTTAATATTACGGTCACTAACCAGCCCTGAGAACCATCCTATCGAGCTATTTTGCCACCACAGCAAGTGTCTTTACTGAGCATGTATTGCTAGTCAGTCGGAGGCATTCTCCATGGAAGAGGAGGATTACACATTCCCCGATATGTACCCCTGCACCTGCCTCTCCCCTCCCCGCCCCAGAAAAGGGCATCACCGACGGGGCCGTACAGGGCTTATGTGGTGGCAACCGTGTATGTTTGAGTCATAGCTGAGCGGTTCAGTCTTCCTTTCCTGCAGGGCCTTCTGTTTGTCCTGATAGCCCGGTGTCTGGTTTCTCTCTTCTGAACACCTTCAATGACAGCAGGCACCCTGCTGGTTCTGTCTGCTTGAAGGGGTTTCTCCTTGGGGTCTTAGGCTGCCCAACCTCACTGGCCATTCTCTTGGTGCTGCGAATGGCTTCAGGGCTCCCTGTTTCCTGGATCCAAGGCTTTCTTATTTCTACTTTATCCCCTCGTTTTAGTTGGGTACACTCTCCAAATGCTTCCTGAGAAAGGCTGCTTGAAGAGTATCTTTTTGTGAGATCCTGTATGTCTGAAAATAGCTTCTTCCACTCTCACATGTTTCCCTGACAGGTTGACTGGTGTTAGCATGCTAGGGCTTCCATAACAAAACACCACAGACTGGGAGGCTTAAAAAACAGATGTTTGGTTTCTCATAGTTCTGGAAACTAGAAGCCCAAGATCAAGGTTCTGACAGTTTTGGTTTCTTCTGAGGCCTTCCTTGGCTTGCAGACTGCTGCCTTCTTGTGGTGTTCTCACACAGTCTCTCCTCTGTACATCCAACTTTCCTCTTAGAAGAAGAGTCAGACTGGATTAGGGGTACCCTACTGGCCTCATTTTAACAGAATCACCTCTATAAAGGCCTGGTCTCAAGATACCTGAGGTGCTGGGCGTTAGAGCTTCAAAACAGGATTTGGGGGAACACAATTCAGCCCATAAGAGCTGGGTACAGAATTTTTTGGGTTTTCTCTCAGAATTTTGGAGACGCTACTGCGTCATCTCCTAGCTTCCTGTGTCCTGCACTAAAATGATGCCATTCTTAATCTGTGGTACAACCTTTTTTCTCCTTCTGGAAGCTTTAGGATCTTTTCTCTGCTTGATAGGAGGCTATTTTCATTCATGGTGCTGGACACTCAGGGGTCGTCCTCTTAGCCGCAAACTCCGGCCCTTCCATTTGTGGAAATTATTTCCTTGATGGTTCCTGATCCTTTGGTTTCTCTCATCTCTTTTCAGAACTCTTCAGAAAGTAGAAACTTTCTGACTGCAGTCTCCACACTGGGGTGAGCTGGCTGGGACATTCCCCAGGGCTTGTCAGACTGTCCACAGAAAGCTCCTCCAACTGCAATGAGCAACCCTGGCAGGAAGTGTGAGGGAGCTAAGCAAGGGAAGGACACCAAGGGTGACAATGTTCAGGATGCAAACTGTCACTCATTCTTTTAGTTCAGTTCTGCTATCCACTGGACTGATGGCCCCGGTCTAGGGATCTGC